TAGGTGTCATGAGGAATGCCGCCCAGTCTGGGGCTCTTCCCCGTGAAAAAAGACTTCCACCATGGGGCACCACGATTTCGGGCATGCTCTGTGGCCCAGTCGACCAGCTCAGCCGTGTTCTCATCTGGGCCCATAAATAAGATCTCGTCTTTGCCGTACAGATCAACAATAGGGTCCTTGATGCCAGGACTGACTGGTGGCAGCAAGAGATCAAGGATACTGTCAATATACTTTTCAAAAGCGACACGGGCCTTGTCCTGGTGATTCACGTCGAGCAGGATTACGCCCTTGGCACCGCCTTCGGGAATGTCCTTGTTCTTGCGTTGCTGAGTATTGGCCAGGTTGTAGTTCTCATCGAACAGAGAGCGGGCATTGATGCTGTAGGCTTCCTTGTTCCGGCTCTTGACGATACGAATACCTCCGCGCGCAATATCACGGAACCGGAGATGGAATCCGCGGAACTCGGAGCTAATGACCAGGAACATGCCATATAGAGGTTGGGGATACTCGTGCTCCGGGAGGAAATGAGGGTTGAGCCGGAAGCTGAGGGCCACCTTGGTTGGGGTGAAGAAGTTTGTCTTGAGAATAGAGGCATTAAACACTCGGAAAGCGCTCATGACCATCTCATCATGTTCGTTGGCAGCTGTGCTTGAGATGAGCTGCTTCAGCTTGGGGCCGTCAAGGACCTCGTCAACCTGCAGCCGCAAATAACTTAGCGTAGGAAGGAAATCATCCTCAGCTGGTCCACGGGTCTGCACATAGTGGGTGTTGGCAAAGTCGAGATATAACTTGTGAATGAGTTCCGGATACTTGTTGACGATCTCGGAAATATAATCCGAGGTAAAGGTCTCGGTACGTAGACGCTTCTTAATCTTGGCCAACAACTCCGCGTGAACGCTGTTGCTAGAATCCAAGAGATCGGTCAACGACGTGTACTCAGAACCCAGGCGATTCAAAAATTGCTGAACGAACACCCACGCGCAGTGGGCATAAATCGTCTCTTGCAAGCTGAGCCGACCAACTGCAAAATGATGCTGAAATCTGTTCTGAGGGATGCAATACAAAAGGGAGACCTCCTTGATAATCTGGTGGATCGCCGCCTCGATCGGGGGAAACTTGGCAGCTATCTCCTGATTGGGCAACGGACGAAGATAGAGCGAAATCACCGTGATTCCGTTGGAGAAGTGTTCCAGATACTTTCGTGAACTGGTCAAGCGGTAGTAGTGATACAGATCAGAGAGAGCACTGAAAAGCCCCATGGCCGAGCCTTGCCGGTAAGCAATGACCAGTCTCTTCTCGCGACTCTTTTCAATCTCGAACATCTCAATGACGGGACCAGAGCGGCTGACCGCATTGCTGATGATCTCTTGGTAAATGGCCTTGGTATTGGGGGTGGCCTTCTGCAAGAACCTCTTCTCACCAATGATGTCGATGTTGGTCTCATTGGGATCTGGGTTCGAGTTGACAAACTGACACTTGTAGACGAAGTAGCAACGGAGCTGCTGACCATCATCACCTGGAATCGAGGTAGGCGAGCGGAAAGTCTCTACCCGGTAACTGTTCTCGGGTGTCGAGCCATTGATGTACTTTTTGTCAATCCGCGACTCGTAGCGCGGGCCCTCGACGGAGGAGACACCCGGCTTGCTGGTGTCAATGTAAACCGCGTGATCCTCAGCCTCCTTGTCCAGTCGGATTTCGAGCTTCTTGTCGTCTCGCGCGTAGGCGGCGACCTTGGCGGCGTACAAGGACAGAATTTGCGTAACAATGGCCTCGACAGACTCCGTCTGGAAGTAGGTGTCGTCGATGCCGAGTTGATTGTAAAACCATTCAGTCTCTCCTACAACGAACTCCACTGGAATGAAACCCTTCTTTTCCAGCTGATCCATGACTGCGGATGCAAATAGGTCAGATACCAACCTAGTGCGCGAGCTCTTAGTTCAAGTAATCACTTACCCTGTTCCATCTGCTTCTCCTTGCCCTCGAACTTGGCAGCCACATAGCCGGGATCTTCCTCGGACAAGATCCGATGTGAACCGCCGCCGGGGATTCCCAGGTGGGTGGGTTGTGGGGAAGGTTGACGGATGCTTGAGCCGGCTACACTCTCGAGGATTTTGTTGTGTGGGTGACGTTGGAAGCCGATGGGGGTGCCAGCTCCCGAGTAAGCGCCGTCGTTACTGCCATAGAGCTTGGGGCCGGCCCGCACGGGCAGAGAGTTGGCGCCATTGAGTTGGCCATCGGGGATGGGCGAGGATGAAGGTGCGGGGGACACCATTGTGAGTGTTGTGACTTTTATGACGGGGGGTCTTTGAGGTTGTGTGTAATTCAAGTGGTATGTTCAGTGGACAAGGTTCGGCTTGTGAAGTCTGGAACGGTATGAGCACTGCAGCCAACCCAGGCAACCGCAAATGGTGAAATTCCAAAGGAGAAGTTTGAATAGTGCATTTGTTGAAAGAAAGGGAAAAGAACAGAAGGGGAGTTGAAAACAAAGACAGACGAAGTCGAGGACAAGATAACACGCAAGCGATGAAGAACGAACGCACCTAGCTCCAAGTTGTGTTTGAGACAAAAGCAATAGAGGCGGATTCTTGAATTCTTTGAACTGGTCAGTAGGTGGTGGGGGGAGACAGGCTTATCAGACAGGAAGGGACGGCTTTTACAGTTGTCAAGCTCAGCCATGCAATGCAGTCGACACGTCAACCGCAATTGAGAGAAAGGCAGATAAGAAAAAAGTAGGTCGACGATTGTATTGATTGCGTGAGATGCTCAATCTTTTCTTTTTCGAAAGTTGGAAAGAGAACTCAGAGAGACGAGTGGGTGACTTAGTAGGGAAGAAGAAGGAGGAGGAGGAGGAGGAGAAAGGATGATCAGTTAGAAGAATTATGCTACAAGCAAAACAAATGACTTCATCAAAATGTGTAATGTGTGAGTGGGAGGAATACTGGGGAAGGCGACCCTTTATATGACTGATTCAAAAATCTTTTGAAGAGATGATCTCAGTCTGGAAGAAAGGCTTTTTTTTATTATTTATTTATTAATTATCACGCAGTGTCATGTAAGTTAATTATTTGTTTGGGTGGTAAAGACGGATAAGTTACAAAGAGTCTCCAGTTATGATGCTGGATGATGTTACGACATACTACATACACTAACTTACTAGATGCTAGTAGTAAGTAGTATGAGAGGAGATAAGTGAACTAACTAGTCGCAATAGCCGGTGCTATGCGATCGGCCAGGAACGGGGGGGGGGGGGGAAAAGCGCAGCTTCCCGGTCCGGGGCAACTTGTGGTAAGATACTGCTGGTATTGGTACGGTCTCATACATCACATTCAGGTATCGTACCTACCCTACAGGTGGATCGACCACCCCGGGTGGTCCTTTGTGGCTATACTCCGTAGTTAACTGTGCTGTGGCTGATTCTTTTGACATTGATTTTCCTCTACCACATGACACATACTCCGTAACTAGTTAGATTGAAAGGAAAAGGAAAAGAGATATGAGATTCCTCAGTGACTATGGTAGAGAATCATTTCTATACTCTAGCTCTTCACTCAAAAGACACGAATCTATCTCCACTGCATGACATTGATTGTTACTTACTGGTTCTACGTACTTCGTACTCCGTACAGTATTGTCGACGCCAAGGGAAGCAAGCCTGGAGCTGAGTGGGCCAGGACTTGCCTGTTTGGACGACGAGCCAGACTCACTCGGATGGCGCGAGTGAGGTAAAAGAGGTCAACTTGGAAGGAAAATGCCGCATCTATCATTTTTCATTGGCCTGGGAACCCGGGGCAGGTGGAGAGAGGGGGCCTAATTTTGGAAATTCCATCTCCATAATTACCTCAGCTCCTGGTCGGTGGTTTGAAAGATGCGGTAGATAGATAGATAGATAGATGGATGGATAGCTGTATAGATAGATGGATACGTAAATATAGATACATGAGTAGGTATGAGCTGAAAGATCTATTTTGGGAGGGAAGAATGAGTTGCAGCGAGAGACATGAAGAATCATGTCCAGGAACCCGGGGGAGATCGAGGGGCTGGAATTTCCAATGCTCTAACTATAGATAAAGTAGCCAGGGGTTTGAGAACTAGGGACAGTAGGGCGTATAGTCAGCCCAGGTAGCTAGTTTACTATATGAGTAGTAAAGTTCTGAGTACGACCACGCTGGGATAGGGCCTTATCAGGCTCCAGACTATCAAAGAATAATCATATTAAAGAACTTGGAACAGAACCTAACAGACCAGACCGGCAACATTCCAGGCCGTTACGGGTAGTCAGTTAGTTAGTTGGTTGGGTGTGTCAGCTGACCGGACCGGGTTTGGATGTGTCATGGTTTGTGACCGCCCGGTTTCCGGTGCGTAATATGAATCATCGAAAATGCCGCATCGCCATTCTCGGCGTTTCGCTCCTCGTCTCGGCGAGATTTGTGATTGTATCTGATGGAGTATGTATGTGATCGTGATTATGGAGTAAGATGAGGAATCTGCATGTAGTGTGTACTGTATATACTCATACCGAATACTATTATGTAGCAGTAGGCCAGCCTGAAGGACGAAATATAAACAGTACCTAGGGTATCAACCTTTAACTAAATGCACTGTACTTACTATACAGGAAGGGTAACTACTGTACTTTTTCTATTGAATGGATCAGTCACTAACTCACAAGTTCATGACGGAGTCATGTGCAGTTCCAATTGCGGGGGAAGCAGCCAAGTCGACTCGGAATCGGTTCCTGGATCGATTCCCGATCCAGGCGCTCTCCAGTTTTTCTCCAGGGGGTAATGGGGGTTTGGAGCAATGTCCAGGTGCATTTTTTGCGGGGGAGGTATCTAGTATGAGAAAACCCCTCTCTATTGCGGAAGTTCCCATGAGTTCTCATTATTAAATTATCAAATGGCTCAACCCAGTCGCCGGCAATTACCCCATCAAAATTCAAGAGATCAAGAGATGCTCCCCGACTTTTCCCCAGGATCCTTCATCCCCCTCCCGCCCTCCCTCCTCCCAGTCTCTCTCTTTTTTCGCCCCTCTCTCTCTCCGCGGGACTGACTCCCCTTCTGAGTTTTTGCTAGTAGGGTGATCGTCGGCCTTCCGTCCTGCAAACAACCTTGCCCTAAATGGGGAGAACCCCGGACCGGCTGAGGAGGGGGAAGAATGGCTGGGAAAGATCCATGAAACTCAAGTAGTAATATACTAATCTATCCATGATTAAGTTACGTACCTTGGAGTCTAGCCCACTGGATCCATGCGGGATACTTTTTCCTACCCCAAACGGACACCAGGATGACGCAGATCTGAAAGAGAGAAAATGGAACGGAATGGAGAAACGAGTCATCTCCTCTCCGCCGTAGCATACGGTAAGTGAAAGTCGAGCTATTGTTGAATACTGTTGAATAGCCCACTCGGACAGCCTTGCATAGCCGTCGCTTGATTGCTCAAATCGGTCAGCTGCACACCAGCACGAGGGACAATCCCAAGAGGTCCAGCAACCACTAATCGCCAGCAATACGGAGTACTTGAATTCGCAAAATTCGAGCTGCGCTCCTAGAGGGCCGCAGCAGCAGGGGAAATGCATGCTCGGTGTCGGGGAAATGGTATCGAACGAATCCGGCTGAGTGGACAGAGTCACGAGAGGGAACGACGAAAGCATGCTGAATAACGAACTTACTGCTTCTACTAGTAAATATCTCACGGACCGCAGACTTGCTCAATGCAGCAAGCAATCACTGAACTGCAAGGCGTGATGCTTACAACGAGATTTTGTTATTGGATACGCGTTCGACCCAACGCTCTGCATCCGTGCCCGAAAGCCACTAATTCCTCATCCATGCACCACGCGTCTTCTGAACCCTTCGGATGGATCCTGGATTTTGCAGAGGTCTCGTTTGTACTCGGATGCGCAGGTCGAGTTTGGCTAGATGATGCCGACCAGCTAGCGCGAAGCCTCAAAATATGCCAATATGCATGTGTGACTGTGGGGGAGAATCTCAACTGGCCATAAACTCTTACGAATAGCATGTAGACACTCTACGGACACACGAACACCAGCGAACACCTATTTTCATTTCTGGTCTGGTACAAAGAGCTGGATTATATCATACATCCTTCACGACTACCGCTTCTTGATGCTCACGTCAAGGTTGCCCACAGCCCACGCGGCTACAAATACTGTGAAGAGACCAGCAGTGATAGTCACCGGCTTGCGCAATTCATCCCACAAGGAATAATCGTAGGTCACCTAGTTCAATTGTCAGTATGCTTTCGACTCGAGTCAGGTTTAGATGATTGTCAAGGAACTTACCACAATCTGAGAGTCGCGAGCTTCATCCGTCAGTCCATTGATGGTTAGGCTCAATGCCGTCCGTCCCAGAGTGTCCATGAACGTCTTGTGCTCGGACACGTCGGCCTGGATCTGGCTGGAGCTAGGGAGTCCATTGCTGGAAGCCTTTTCCAGCATCTCCCAGCGAACATTCCGGGCGCCTTCGGGAAGGATCACTCGCACAACGACCTTCTCATACTGGATGCCCTCGGAGGCCTTGGGTCCTTCGATGAAGGGAACCTTGAGCACGTAAGAGTCAGAACTGCCGACGGGCCGACGAAGGAACGTGGAGAGGTCGTTGTTCCAGCCGACGCGGAAACTATAGTTCCAGCCACCAAAGATGGGGAAACGGGGGCGAAGCTCCAATGATGCGTCGCGGCTCGGAACCTTCCCGGGACGGTAGCGGCTTGTAGAAACATTGCCGATGTCATCGATAAAATAAGGGTCCACGGAGCCGGGCTTCAGGGGGTACTTCAGCTCGCGAATAGAGGAAGAGGGGAGTTGCTGGTAACTGCTGAGGGTCCATTCCACGCGCGAAAAGTGGTCCAAGAGTTCAGAGCCATTGTTGCGCAGCCAATAGCGCTCCTCCGTGGCCAGGTTGCCGCCCCAATGAGAAACCTCCAGGTCGCGCTCCAGCAGCGAAGCCGTGATGACTGGCTTGGTGAACTCATAGCGAACGACGATCGGGTAAGTAGTACCGGGCGCAACCTGAGCCGTGTCATAGGGTCCGTACGTGTAGCTGGTACCCAGACGCTCCGGGTCCGCACCCGACTTCAAGTCCGTGGTCGTATATTCCGGGACATTGGTGCTGGGAAGCTTGAGCTTGGTCTTCTGCGTCACTGTCGTGTATGCTGAAGGAGCATAGGCGGAGAACGAATAAGTGAGGTACTGTCGGTCCATCTGTTTGATAGCGGCCGGGCGCGGGCTGAAAGAGTTGAGGACAGAGTAGGAGATTCCCAAAGTGATCTGAGAGGAGGGCGGCAGGGGTTCGGAGAAGTGAACGATGTAGTATTGGAGATCCCTGTTCGTCAAATTTAGCATACATCAGTCTTAATTCGCCGGGGGAGTATGGAGGAGTGCTTGCGGATCAAGCAACCGTGGCATCGTCACCGGCATCACCACCAGCCGACGAGCCATTGGCGACTAGAATGACCAACTCACCTGCTTGAGTCAATTTCAGTAGCTTGCACATCGAGCCTGCCCTTCTCCGGAGCTGATTTATCGCGGACTTCGAGGACTCCGACCTTATCGTAGAGGTCGGATGGCAAAGCCAAATAGTAGTCACTCTGAGCTTGCTTGGCCACATTCTCGACCACGACATTGATGGTCTCACGGAGGTAGCTCTTCTCCAAATTGGTGTTTCGGACCAAATTGGTATTCTTGAATACTTGAGCGGGCTTGAAGTCGCTGGGAAGAGCGACTGGCGAGCTTGACGATGTGGAATCGGCGCATACAAAGCTGCTGGTGGATAGAAACAGTCCGCACAGCGCGGTGAGTGCGGAAAAGGGCCTCATTGTGACAAATGGGCGGCCGTGAAGCAGACCGCGCCTAAAACACAATGTCTCTCGCCAGGAGAAAATTGAGAAAAGAGAAAAAAAAAAAAAAAAGAGATATAATCAGCACTGAAGAATGAGAGGCAAGTCAAGAGGGAATTGGGCGAGCGGGAAAGAGACGCGGAGATGCTGAGGTGTCCCGATTCGGGGCGATTACGAGTTCCGGCCGGACTTCTCCACCCGCTAGCTAATCCGCAACCTAACCTCCTTCTCCGCCTTTCCGCCATTCTTATCACCAAACCTGAAACAGATGAACGGGCCATATTATTATATTCTTTCCTGCATCGGTTGTCCTCCCTGGCCACCGCGCACCTCCAACCAGTCCTCATCTCCTCTAAGATGCTCATATGAGCTCGAGCTTTTGCAATTGTCTGAGAGATCTGTCATTCGAATATCGAATTTATCAAGTCTTGTGCAACAGCTGTCAAATGCTCGCCTCTCGAGTGGCCGCTCGCACATGCGGGCGGACAGTGAGAACCGCAGGCCTACCTCGACGGTACCATGGCCTTGTTAATAGTAAATTGTTCAAAGTATCGGAGGAGGTTCGCGATGCCGTCGCCACGGGGAGACCTGTGGTGGCCCTTGAATCAACCATCTATACACATGGTAAAGCTCTCATCAGGCGTGTCACAGTAGATCGGCCGAGACATTGCTGACAAGAGCAGGATTCCCCTATCCGGAAAGTGTCGCATTGGCAACGCTGTTGGAATCTGTAGTACGTGCCAATGGCGGCGTTCCTGCTACCATCGGAGTTCTCTATGGCGAAGCCCGGGTTGGCCTCAACGCAGAAGAGCTCATCGAGTTAGCATCTACTGCGGAGAAGAAGAACGCTTTGAAAGTGTCCCGGAGGGATCTGGGATACATTTGTGGTCTAGTAAGGCAAAAAGTCTGTAGCTGGCTTGGAATTGTTGATCTAACTTTGTATCAGGGACTAGCTGGCAAAAGACTACACGGGGGTACAACAGTGTCCGGCACGATGGTGCTGGCTCATCTGGCTGGAATCAAGGTCTTCGGAACGGGAGGCTTAGGTCCGTACTTCCAAGCTAGGGCAGTTCTCAAACAAGCTGACTTGTCATAGGAGGCGTACATCGCGGTGGAGAAAATTCGATGGACATCTCTGGTGCGTAGAATTATCCTTGCTATCTTCTTCCCCGCTAATGTTGATATAGCTGATCTCACCGAGCTGGGACGAACGCCAGTGGCAGTCGTCAGCTCTGGGTGTAAGAGCTTCCTGGATATCCCGCGTACCCTGGAGTATCTCGAGACAGAGGGAGTCTGCGTGGGGACCTTTGCAGATGGCCGTCAAGGGGCCGTGGATTTCCCCGCCTTCTATACTCGCGACAGTGGCATCAAGAGTCCGAAGATCATCCATGATGAGGCTGAAGCGGCCGCAATTATCTGTAAGTGGCACATCACAGGAGTTCCTGTTTACTCTTGGAGGTATCTCTGTATTCTCGCCAATCGGCGTTTGTCAGCACTGTGCGATGAGGCCGCTAATTCCATCACAGACGCGCAAACACAGATTCCTGTCTCGTCCGGTATTCTCCTTGCCAACCCTGTCCCCCTCGAGCATTCGATTGCAAAAAGTGAGACGGATGGCATCATCGATGAGGCCATTCGTCTTGCAGAAGTCGAGGGGCACCAAGGGAGTGACAATACGCCATTCGTACTTGCAAAGATCAAGGACCTAAGTGGTGGGAAGAGTGTAGTAGCCAACCGAGCCCTTGTCGAGGCCAATGTGGAGCGTGCAGCCAAGGTAGCTCTGGAACTCTCGAAACTCGAGCGATCTGGCGGGTCATTGAACGAACGGTGAGTACTCATGTTTTTTTTTAGCTCAGCATAGAGACACCCTAATGTCGAGATGGTCGGCGCAGATACATGCCAGCTATCTCCGAGACCACTGGGGCTGACCGAGCAACTGCAGAAGCAGAGCTGGATCTCAGTTCGACCACTGAACAGTTGACCAAGGGTGTTGCCAAGGCGGACATTGTTGTGGCAGGCTCGCTGGCAATTGATTTGTCCTGTGACTTTAGTCCTACTGAGTCAACAACCTCTCCCGTCTTAGAGACATCCAATCGCGCAGTCATCGGACAAAGCCTTGGAGGGGTGGGTCACAATGTGGCTATCGCGGCGAAATATCTCAACAGCTCTGTTCTCTTCTGCAGTATAGTTGGGGACGATTTAAGTGGCCGCACCGCGCTCGCTTCCCTCCGCGATGAGAAGCTGCCCATAGCCGGTATTCGTGTTCTTCCTGCATCATCAGGAGCGCGTACTGCGCAGTATGTGGCCGTCAACGATGCAAAGAAGGATCTCGTTGTCGCTATGGCGGATATGGCTATTATGGAATTGCCCGCACAAAGTCTAGATTTTGACGGATTCTGGGAGCCATTAATTGCGCAAGCTCAACCAAAATGGGTGGTTGTGGACGCGAACTGGAGCCCAGAAGTGCTTGTAAAGTGGATGACAGTTGCAAAGAAGCATGGGGCTCGAACGGCCTTCGAACCCGTCTCGACCGCCAAGAGCCGTCGGTTGTTCGGCCGGCGCTCCGCTGCCGTCACGCCTTCCGAATGTGCTCCCAATAATACCGTCAGTCTTGCGGCACCCAACCAGATGGAGCTGACAGAGATGTACGCGGCCGCGCGGGATAATGGTCTTCTCGACTCCGAAGACTGGTGGCATGTCATTGACGCGATGGGGATGTCTGCGTCTGGATCGCGAGACCGATTGGTAGCCATGACCTCGGCCGAGCTCGTGGATCAAGGCATTCCGCAGCAAAGCATCCAGCTTCTTCCATTTATCCCGTGCATTATCACCAAGCTGGGCAGGCAAGGCGTCCTTCTCACACAGCTTCTCCGTCCGGGAGACGCGCGTCTGACCAGTCTGGACACCGCCCCATATATCCTATCCCGTGCGCCCACCCCCCATGCAGTGATCGGGGGAGTATACATGCGTTTGTTCTCCCCAGCAGCGGTACTTGCGGAGGAAGATATTGTCAGTGTCAATGGGGCTGGAGATACTCTCTTGGGGGCGGTAGTAACGGGTTTGGCCCGCGGCCATGTGGTAGAAGAGGTGCTGTCTTTGGCGCAGGAAGCCAGTGTTCTGACGCTTCAGTCCCCTGGCGGCGTGAGTCGCGAAATCCGCAAGCTCAACTTTCCATGATATCGAGGATTTCATTGAGATCGAGCCTCCTTTTTACCTCATAAATGCACAGTTGATGTTGCTATTGGAACAAATCACAGCCATCATGCTCATCACACAATTGTCTATCATAAGAGAATTCTACAGCCAGAAGATGGTCAAGTCCCACGCTATGCCGTACCATAAAGTCATCATATATAGTAGCAAAAACCATCAAGCTCAATACCAATTTAGACAGTAATCCTCTCCACCGCTTCTGCCCCAACCACCGGCAACCGCTCGACGATTTTTGTCCCTGCGCGATTCAACCCCGTGGGGCTGAACCCAGCCGGCACAACCGCCGGATCCAACAAGCCGATCTGCAGTAAGACGCTCGCTTGATCCCAATAGATATTAAGACGGGCGACTTTCCCCGCGCAGAAACTCGCCGTCATGACGAGGGCGATGCGCACGGGCCGACCCGTCGGTGGAACCGAGGGCAACAACCACGGAATCTCTTCGCTATGGGTGAACGAAAAGTGCAGCTCATCGACGATGCGATCCGCGCCGGTAGTGCGTGAGAGGAGGCGAATCCGTTGATCAGGAGGACCCGTCGGCAGGAATTGGGTGGTGAAGAATTGGGTGAGGGATTTGGGGGTGCTGCCTAAATCATATCAGATACAAATGTTATATATACCCGGTTATATGAATTATTGTTTCGACTCACCTCCCATCATAGTCGGCACACAATTCACCAGTGGAGTTCCCAGAGAGGTATGGTCGTCATCACTGGGCCCCGATGCGTTCAACTGAACACCACTACTGCTCCCTATCATCAGCCCGACAATTTGGGCCGCCAAGCGCTCTCGCTCATCTGTCACCGCAGTAGACGAGTCTTGTTGCTGACCGGCCATGGTGCAAGTCTCCGACGACGCCGCCAGACACCGCCAGTATTCTTCCCAGACGGTCTCTACATCCGGGACCTTCCATCCCCCGCCGTTCCCGGGCCAGCCGAACCCGCGCTTCAGGGCCTCGAGGGCTCGCGACCAGGCTAATCGCGCGGCGATGCCGTCGTAGTTTGGTGAGGAGGGCTCCGCAAACCCTGCGTTGGATTCTGGGTAGAAGAAGGAGTGACAGCGGTGACGCTTGCGGGTATGGGTGGGTGCGGAGGGCTCGGGGCCGGCTGAGCAGCGGTCTCCGGCGAGATGAATCTGGATGGGAAGAAGGGTCACCGATGGAGGGTAGGTCGTTGGCGCAGTGGAGGAAGAGGTCGTCGTGTTGGCATTTGTAGGAGCAGTAAGAACTTTGCTAATGGGACTGCCGTTTGCGTTGATGGACAGATGGTCGAGGCAGTTGTCGAAGTCATGGGGGTAGTAGGCCACCAGAGCGCAAAGTCGGGGGAAGGGGTTGGTGGATGTTGCTGGTTGATGGTGAGACTCGAGAAGCAGTGAGGCCGGTTTGTTGTAGGCTAGCGAGGAATCCTTTAGCTACAGTTTCACAATGTACGGACATCTACCCAGAGAATCTCTGGGTTGTACTAGTCGAAAGGGCAAAAAAGGGTGTCTGACCGACCACGGCATATCGTTCTCCGGGCTCAAGATCATCCTCCCGTTCGTGCAGGAGATACTCGAGGTCTTTTCGATCTCGCTCGCGGTCTGTGTGATATCTCCCAGGGAAGGGCAAATATTCAACATCGAAACCCTCTGCACGGAGTCGGGCTATGATGCCGGCGTCGAATTCGAGGGTATCGGAGGTCAGATACAGCCGACGGGGCGCACCAGTGTCTGAATCTTTGCGACGAAGGTCGACACCGGGGGTTGATTGGAGAGGAGTTGTGCCAGAAGAACTACTTCGACGTCGTCGAAAATGCTGGCGGAGGCGTTCCATGGGGGAGAGCAATATTGGATTAGGGTTGACTGAGAATGGGTCAGACAGCAAAGAGTTATGTACATTTAAGTCAGAAAATCGAGAGCGGTATTGAGGAAAGCGGTCCAAATATAGATTGAGAAAATCCGACTGCCTCAAGATCAGGCAGGCGTGTGGCATGCTGGGCTGACGTCGACGAGTTTTGCCCAGTTTCTTGGGTCGACGTGGAACCAGCCGGAGTTCCGCTTGGCCTCTTGGGAAGACCACAGAGGTGATTCATCAGTTTGGCCTGCAAGATGGAATGTATAGTAGATTGTATGGTGTAAATTGTAATTGTATATGTAGGTGTATCTGCATGTTGTGTGGATGTCTATATATCGCTCATCGTCGATCAGTGGGACGGCGATCAATAGCCGTTCCGTTCCGGGGTGTCTCTCCCTCTCTAAATCTAAATGCACATGATCAATGTGAATTAGCACATCTGTGCACAAACGCACCATTATGACGCATGCCCGTTATTGTGATTCGAACCGGGTCAGCCACTGGCGCGCCTCTCTTACGTCCTCCGCGCATTCTTCCCCGGCCAGATAGCACGCATATGCTGGCCGCTGCAGACTCCGCCGCGCCACCTCACAGTCCAGGCGAATATCCTCCACCAATGCCTCAAGTGATACATAATCGTACTCTGGTCGGATGTACCCCAAGATCAATAGGCGCAGGTCTGTACCATAGAAGTCCGGGAGCTTGTGGAATTTCGTGGGACCGCCGCCCGCGGTGGGGGACGGCGCCGAGAGAGATGGCATGATATGAATTTCCTAGCATCACCGGGAGGTCAATTACTGAAAAATGGAGCCCGAAAGGAAGGGATGCCTTACAATCGACCGTGTCTGGTTTTTATAAAAAGGATTGTACCCAATGCTCAACACGGCCGGTCGGATCGGCGACGAGGCATCCTCGAAGGCGAATCGGGCCGGATCCAAGGCGACCACCCCGTAGTAAACGCCCACCTGCAGGTCCGGATATGCAGCGAGGCCCTCGGCCGGAATGTTGGCGGTGGGGATACCCAACTGCAAGATGAACGCATGGTCAGCCTCACACTGCACGTTGGGTCCGGCGGACTTCAATCACCTCTTTGCTGCCCCGCCCAAAGCCCTTGATCACCAGGCCGGCCAGGCGGATGGGATAGGGAGGCTCCGGGCCTCCATCAGGCCCGGTTACAGGATCACGAGGGCCATCCGGTCGCATGTTCGGTCTGCTGGTGCGGGAGTAAGAGTGAGGGAGGAAATGAAGGGGAACTGGAATGGACAAGCTGCTGTTGTTGGGATTTCAAAGGAAGAGACCGAAAGATTACGAAGAGGGAAAGCGGCGATAAGAAGCCGATGCGATGCCGGGGGGAGCAAGCGGGCGGGCGGGCGGTGAGGACGTCACCAATTGGCAAGCAGATCTCATTCATCATCGACAAGTCTAAAGTCAACTGTATGAACTGCAGGACAACGTCCGGTCCTGCTTGACTAGTACTTACTGTACATACAATACATGCTGTAGACGGGACAATTGGATAATAGGCACTTGTTTGAATTGAACGCTTTTTTTATACCATTAACTCCGTACCTCTAATATGAAGGGTAGTATGTGGGAAATCTCGTAATACACTCGCTATTTACTCCATCTCAATGGTGGCAGGGGGCTTGCTAGAAATGTCGTACAAAACACGGGACACTACAAATCACGATCAGTAAGTTCACTCGTGGAACAAGATCCGAACTCAAGACGAAAGACTTACCACCGTGGACCTCGTTGATGATGCGGGTCGAGCAGCGGGCCAGGAACTCGTTGTCGAAGGGGAAGGCACGGGCAGTCATGACTTGCAGACAGTTAGTCGAGGTGAGTCATGACTCAAAACAAAAAGAGCTACTTACAATCGGTAGTCTCGACAGCACGCAGGATGATGATCTCAGCATAGACACGCTTGTCGCCCTGTGAAAAAGTTGACATCAGTATTAAGATCGGATTCTCTGGCAATTGGGTAGGGGAACCCATCCTTACCATAACACCAACAGCCTTGCTGGGGTCCAAAGCGGCATAGGCCTGAGCGATCTTGTCATACAGACCAGCCTCGCGGATCATGGAAATGAAAATGTGGTCGGCACGGCGGGCAATCTCAACACGCTCGGGGGTTACCTCACCCAGGACACGGATGGCAATACCGGGTCCGGGGAAGGGGTGGCGCATAACCAGCTCGTGGGCAATGCCCAGCTGGCGACCCAGGGCGCGCACCTCATCCTTGAAGAGCTCGCGAAGAGGCTCGATAAGCTTCATACCCTGGCCATCAATCATGCGCTCTGCATATAGTTAGCTTTGTGACTTCTTCAGATAGGAGAAAAATTAAATAAGATAACGTACGGGGCAGACCGCCAACATTGTGGTGGGTCTTGATGGTGGCAGAAGGACCCTTGAACGAGATACTCTCGATGACATCAGGGTACAGGGTACCCTGCAAGAACCACTTGATCTTGGCACCAGCATGCTCGGCCTCGGCCTCGATCTTCTGGGCCTCCTCCTCGAAGACATCAATGAACGTGCCACCAATGAACTTGCGCTTCTTCTCGGGGTCGGTGACACCCTTGAGTCCATCCAAGAAACGCTTGGAAGCGTCCACAACGGTCAAGTTGATGCCCAGGTGCTTGTTCAGGGTCTCGGAGACAATGTCGCATTCGTTCAGACGCATGCATCCGTTGTTGACAAGAACGGCATGGAAACGGTCGCCAATAGCCTCCTTCATCAGCTTGGCAGCCCTAGTGACGTTTGTTAGCACTTGCAGGCTAGCAAGAAATTGAGCCCGGCACTTACACGGTGGAATCAACACCACCACTCACAGCACCCAACACGTGGTCGGTCTCACCGACCAAGTTGCGGATGCGGGAAATTTCCTGGTCGACGAAGCGAGACATGGTCCAGTTCTGTTGAGCGCCGCAAATGTCGACGGCAAAGTTCTTGAGGAGGGTTGTGCCTAGGCCAGTCAATACCTAGCAGCTACAACGAGTCACACAACCCATTCATCTTGCAGCGTACCTTTAGGCGTGTGGGTGACCTCGGGGTGGAACTGGACACCGTAGATGGGCTTGGACTCGTGGGCAATACCAGCGTACGGGGAGTTGGCGGAGGTGGCAATGGTGTGGAAGCCCTCGGGCAGCTTGGCGAGCTTGTCACCGTGGCTCATCCAGACCAGCATGTCATCCTCGATGCCGGCGAACAGCTTGTCGACGTGACCCTGGGAGTCGAGGCGCTTGGCGTTTAGGTCGGCATGACCGTACTCGCGCTCGGTGCCGGCGATGACGTTGCTCTTGTCCAATCGGTAGGCGATTTCTTGCAGACCGTAGCAGATACCGAGAATCGGAACTCCAAGGTCGAAGAAGGCGGGATCGACGTGGGGGGCTGTAGAAGGTGACCGGGTGGAATGAGTCAATCCGGCAGGGAGAATCGAGCTTTCATGATTTACTTACCACCCTCCTCATAGACACTGTAGGGACCACCGGAAAGAATGATACCCTTGGGCTTGAAAGGGAGATCGGCTAGCTTCTGAGTGCAAGGAAGCATTTCACTGTAGACATTGATCTCTCTCAGTCTCCGGGTCAGGAGGTGAGTCTGGGTGGTAGAAAATGTGTCAGTGACTCAGGTTGCGATAGGCGGGGTACATTGAACTATTGCGAGACTCTAAAGGAGAGGAAGCGGGGAAGAGACTAACGTATTGAGAACCAAAGTCCAGAGTGAGAATGGTGTCGAAGGTAGCATGGGGGATATCCTGGTCGGCCATGATGACGGTTCTTTCAATTGCTCGTCCCAATTGAAGAGAATATACAATGGGGTTGGAATGATGATGGCGAGGAAGAGAAAGTCGGAGGGGAAAGCGGGCTTGCACTTTTTTTTTCTTTCCCTTCCCGTCGCATTTCTCTGCCGGGCGGTGAGATGCGCCCGATGGTACAGTCCCCGGCCGGGCGGTCAAAGAGATAACGCTTGACAGTTATCTCACGTGGTTCCGGCCAGAACAGCATGCTGCTTACATAAGTAACTCATCTGAACTGTTAAGCTACAGTTAGTTAGTCATTTATCTCGCTGACATAGTCTGGCTCATTGCCCTAAATCTGCCCTGTGCCTGGTTAGTACCTGATAAATTATAGTTACTCCGTAGTAACCGGTAAGTTCAGTTGGTTGCTCACTAGAACCCGAGCTCGGAATTTTGCTTGGCAGCAAAAACCCCAGATCATCACAAGGCTCGTGGCATTTGAGGAGTACTGAAGAAGATAAAAAGGAGTTTAGCTAGTTGCATCTGAGGATTTTCATTGGCTATGTTTCTTCCAGACACGCTTTTAGCGCAGCGCAGGTCGGAAGGTGGTGGCGATGCTGAACTGGCGAGGCGCCCGCATGCGCTGTGGACTGCATCCATAGTCCCCCATCAATTTAGATTAGTCTAGTCTGAAAACAATTTCAAATGGTTGACTTACATCCATATACTTCCCGTCTGCAAATGAACCAATCCGTCCTGCAAGCCACCAAGGCTAACACTCCCAATCGGACATCATGATACGAGCTGCCAGCCATAAAAAGGGGGAGAAAAGGGGTGGTGGGCAGAAATGGGAGATATAAACTGTCTGTCTATCAGAAAGAAACACCTTCATTCCGAATGCACGCTTCCATCCTCTCTCTTTGAATGAATCAACCCACTGTTTCACGGCACGACTGGGCAGCCTCGATGAAACAGGCAAATGGGACCTGCAGGCAACGCCACTCCAATTACTTACACTTGGCTGGGGAGAGTCAATAAAGTGGACCGTGAACAGTTCTATCCTGGGTCAACACGAAGGAAAGGGTCCGCGCGGGCTAGATTGAGCCATGTTTGCCTTTGCCTACTATTTGCTGTGGAGCACTGAGAGAGTGGTACACTGGTACCTGACTCTTGCATCAATCAACTGGGCGTTCCGATCCTGAAGGATTCTCCCAGTGGAGGCTGGACTAAACCATGCCACCAAACAGACTCGATAATTCTTATGGCTATAATACCTATAATGCCTGGTCTCTCCGTCCCTGGACCATTTTCACTCCTCTTTTTTCTTCTTCTCTTTGTGCAGTAATTCTTTGTCCGCTCTTTTTTCATATTCCTTCTCTCGATAACTTAATAATCTCGTCTAGGAAAGAGGACTCTGCCTAAAGTCCATCCATTCATTCTCAATCTACCGTCGAAATGCGCACCACGGCTTTCTTGACCACTGCTGCCACCCTTTGCCTGGCAACCCTGTCTACTGCCGCCAGTACTACTACGATCAACCTCTTTCAGCCTGGTGAGGAGACCATTCCCTACAATGATGTGGAGGCGAGCATCATCGGGGTCACTGGGGATACCACCACTGTTGCTATCGTCTGCGGCCCTTCCGCAGCTGCATCGACTTGTGCCCTGCACAGCCCAGTCACCATTACTGAGGGTCCTTCTACTTTCACTGTGAGCGCCGTCATAACTTCAACTACGGACGATGCAGAATATACGGTTACCCTTGTTGAAGACTGCGATATCACCTCTGTGACTCAAGGGGCCTCCTGCTCCATTTCCATGGATTACACTATCGCCTACAGCGGCGAAACCACTTCTTACTCAACTGCCGCGGAAGCCTCTCTGCCTGCTCGCCTAATGAAGTACTCGCCCGTGACGGTCACTGCGGGCGCCGACAAGTTGTCTTCCTCTGCTACTAAAGCAACTGGGACCTCTTCTGGCTCTTCTAGCGCTGACAGCAAGAATGATTCTACCACCACTGCCACTGGCAGTGCCGCGACCGAGAGTGCATCTTCTTCCAAGACCTCCTTGGGCTCGAATGCCTCCAGTATCCCCAATGGCGCAGCTGGCCACCAAGCCATGACTCTGGGTGGTGCCTTTGCTGCTGCTTTTGTTGCCGTTATTGGCTTGCTGTGAGCGGTGGGTGGGTTTGACTGACTGACTTGCTGCTTGGTCAAATGCGACGAGAGTCATCAATGGAACGGTGTCGTCGCAAATTAATTAATTCTTGCCCACATATTTGCATCATCTCATCTTTTTCCTAGCTCCTCGAATAACACGACCATTTCAGGCTATCTTTGCAACCTTTTCATGGGCATTCTCACCATGATAACGAGTTGGAATGAGCACCACGGTTTGCTGTTGAATAACTCAAACGAGACTCCATTATATATCCATCTGTTTCACTGTAGACTTCACCGCG